TAATTATGAAATGATTTGCAGTAGATGGTTGCCTGGATACTTTTCCCCAGAGGTGGAAGTGCTGGTATCACAAATTAGGAATTTCAGATTTTAGCAAGACCTACTAAAAATGATTGGTAGTATAGAAGAAAGAGCCTAGGAGGACTTGGGTTCAAACATTGCCTAGGTGACATTGTCATTTCATCTCTTGGGGCCTCAGCTTCCAAAAATTAAAGTGAGTAGGTCGGAATAGATAGCTTCTATAGTCCTTTTTTACCTCTAGATCTATGATCCTATGTTCATTTACTCTTTGTACCTCTGAGACAATCACTTACCAGTCAATCTAATAAGTGTTGAGTTCTTACTACATGTGCACTATTTTAGGCACCAGTGGATAAAAGTGTTTCGAGAGAATCTCTTCAAATGGAAATGATAGATTTCCCAAGATCTCCTTCAACTCACTAATATAGACCTTTCAGTAGGAAAATAGTCTCTACATATTCATAGATTCAGTACAACTCTTATGTAGCTCTGTACTGTGTAGTTTGGACTTTACACACGCGGGGATACCCACATGCGTGCACACACGTGCGCGCGCACACACACACACACACACACGCACACACACACACACATCTCAAAGTTCTAAAAGCCCCATCACAGGGAAAAAAGATAAACTGCTCTCCTGGCAATGAGAAGGTTGCTTTTTATTTTTTGTTTTAATTATTTTTTCCTTTTGTCTTTTTTTTTTTTTTTTGTGCTAGGCGATAGGGTTAAGTGACTTGCCCAGGGACACAGCTAGTAAGTGTTAGGTGTCTGAGGTCAGATTTGAACTCAGGTCTTCCTGAATCCAGGGCTGGTGCTCTACCCACTGCACCACTTAGCTGCCCCTTCCTTTTGTCTTAATCCTGTGTGAAGGAGAGAGTGAAGAGCCAAACTGAGAATGATGTTTCTGTTTCAGATTTCTCACATGAAATCAAGGAAGCTATTTTTTGAATGGCACATTTGCAAGCTGCTTTCTCACCAAACATCCTTTTATTTGCATAGCTATTCATGACAGAATGCAATGAAAATGAAAATAACACAGAGTAAAAAGCCCATTATGGGCAAGGTAAAAAAATAAATATTAAAAACAGTCTGGTATCAACAAAAATTGCTTAAAAGCAAAAAGTTCTTTCATTTGACAATATTTACTGTCTCTATCCTGTTGACTCTTGACATCATTGTTTTCAATTGGACCTAACCCAAAACTCTGTAAGTTATAAAATCAGTTTGGAAACCATAAGAATCAGTTTGTAGAACATTTCTACTAAGGAAATAATGGAATAATTTATGAGCCCTCTTCTCCCTCCCATTATCTGGTTGTCAGGATAAACTTCCTTTTATACTGTTTCTTCATTTTCTATAAATTTGTTTGAAGCTACATATCTACATTGATAGAGGGCATTTCCTCACCCAAGAGTTCTGCATTATTAAAATTGCAGGACCTTCCCCACCTTTGTTAGAGGAATTATTGAAATAGGCTATGTAGAAGCACTTTTCAATGTTCCTTTAATCTTACTGCTCTTGTAAAGGTGTAAGACTCAAGCTAGGGAGGAAGTCACCTTTGGGTTCCATAGTGATTTGTCCATAGTAGGTGCTCAACAACTATGTATCAAATGAATGCATTAATATAGTCAGGCTAGGAAAAAGGTAAACTCTTTACTCATGTGTGTGTACGTATAGTGCAAATAAACCTGAACTTAATCTGAAAGTCCATTTTCTACTCCTACTTGGCCATTTACCAAGTGTATGACTTTGGGCAAATTATTTCACCTCTTTAGTCCTCAGTTTGCTCATCTGTAAGATAAAGGGAACTAGGCTATATATTACCTAAAGTCCTTCCCATCTCCACACCCTGCATTTCCATGAATCACCATCACTGATATCACTATCAATTACCATCTGACAGACACATGGTCAATCATGTCATATGAATTGGAGTCTCAAATCTGGTGAAGGAAGGATGAAAAACCCTGGTACCACCTAACAGTGTTTAGAAACATCAATTAAACCCAAAATAGAGTAGCCCCTTAATTGCATGAGTATTCAGCCTGTATAGCCCTCCTCTCCTCTTCCTTGTGGTACTCCTGTGTCAGAACTGAGAGGATGACCCACATTACTAGCTCTCATCTTTCAATTCCAAAGGTAGCATTATGTTTCAGCCCACAATTTTCAATATTGCCTTTGCTAATAATCACTAAATAACAGAATCACAGGTTCTTAGATATCTAGGTCACTCCCAATGATGGAATCCCTTCTAAATGATTCCTAAAAAATGGTCATCTAGATTTTACTCATATATTTCAAGTGACACAACTAAACTATTATATTTGGACTGCCCTAGTTATTAAAGCATCTTCTTCTTTATCTGTCTTGATATCTATATTTCCATCTGTTCCTTTATATCAATACTTCTCTATTATCTATCTATGTGCACATGACACAAAGGCATTTTTTCTCTTTAATTTACTCTACATATTGACCTCTGGAGCAAGCAAAGACTGTTCTTTGAGGTCTTGGTGTAGTTGTAATCAATTCGATTTTTTTATGGGAAGATACAGTTATTGAGATAATGCAAAAATCACTGATATTTAACCCTGAAATGCATTGTTATATTTATATTTGGGTACTACTGTCTCTGAGGTTAATGTAATTTGCAAAACCTCAAAAAAGAGGAAGTCAGACCATGAAGGCCTGTCTTCAAAGGAGCAGGAAAAGAAATTTGTTTTTTCACCTCGGGATACAGAACTGGGAGTCAGGAGACATCATCATCATAACCATCATCACTAACATTTAGATAGAGCATTAAGGTTTGCATTATATATATATATATCTATATATATACACATATGTATGTATATATATGTATATATATACAAAATCTCATTTTATAACATTGATTCTAGCTTGCCTATCACTAATTAGCATCTTGAATAATTTTCTTCTCCATACTTTAGATTTCCAGTGATTAAAAAGAGGAAATAGGACCAGCTTACCTCCAAAATTCCCTCTAGCTCCAAAATTCTTTGAACCTATTAATCTCTTCAACTACTCTCTGTCCCTCACTTCAGGATGGAAATCATGGACCAACAACATGACCTCTTAGACATGATCTTTATCTTCCTGCTTTTCTATATATATAAGCTCTGAAACCTTCCTTGTAACAGGGTTGATGAAAGGGTCTGTTTCAAAAAAGATGTGAATAGAGAAGATGAGAGTATCAGTATAGGAGTGTAGAGCATAGCAGATGTTTGGCTGATGAGAGATTTAATATGTTCTGTAGATGAACTGCAAAGATGACACTCTAATGGAGTTTATGGTTCATTTGTTTTTTATTACACAAAAGAAATAAGCCTTGGACTTCTATTCGGATTGCTTGAATTGGAAACCTGACTCAGCAAATGAATACCCATGTGACCTTGGGCAAATCACTTCTCTCTAGACTTCATTTTCTTCTTGAAAATGAAAGAATTGGACTAGTTGATCTCAGAGGCTCTAATACCTATGTTTCATATTCTTAAACTAGGTTAAAATGTTAAAAAACATGAAGTCTCTATTGATATATCAAATAACTTGCAGTAGACCATTGAGGCCTCTGGTTTTGAAGTACCACGTTGTCATCTAATCCCTCATAGTTCAATCATATTGACCATGTATAATTCTATGTTTAGACTTCAAATGTCTCCTGATTCAAGTATTTTTTTAATGTTCCTCTCTCTTTGTCATTACCTATTTCCACAAAATAATAGATGAAACAAATATCTACATGCTGTTTAAAGTACACTCAAAATTATTTAGTAAGAAGAAAAACTGCACTATTTTCAGTGGTTTTGACAGAAATCTAAGATTTCGTGTCCTTATTTGGTCTATGAAAAAAAATCTGTTCATTTGTTTGGATTTGTTCATTTAATCTACTGTGAGGATAGGGACTTTCACTGAATTCATGTGTGTATTTTTGTTTGTTTGTTTGTTTTTTGGAAAAGTTGCCTAGGACTAAAAACTTTTCCCATAGCACTATTTGCATACAGGGGTAAAAAAAATGCAATATTTAATTAGATTAAATATAAGGGTGTTTAGTATGAATATATGTATGTATATAAATATAAATGTCTGAGTATATGTGTGTGCATGTTTTGTGTGTGTATGTGTGTTTGTGTGAATATCTATCTATATCTATATGAAATTAGGGAGAGAGAGAGAGAGAGAGAGAGAGAGAGAGAGAGAGAGAGAGAGAG